TCTCACATTAATCACAAACTAATTAGTTCTCCCTTAAATGAACTTATATATATATATATATATATATATATATATATGAATATCAACTCTCTTTTTTAAATCGATTTTAAGTAACGTTTAAATAAGGTTAATGTTTTTTCCCATATGCTTTCAACTAATTTCTCAAACATATTATTTTCTCTTTAAACCAACAACATATCCTGTTACATCAGTTTAATTATATTATCATTAGTAGATTATCAGTTAATCCTTAAATCATAATCTAAAATTGGTATAGATGTTGATGTACCTCACACTACAACAAAATTAAGTTTATAAGACGTAAAAAATGTCTAAACGTTCTAATAACTACTATACAAGACGTAAAAAATGTCTAAACGTTCTAATAACTACTATACAAGACGTAAAAAATGTCTAAACGTTCTAATAACTACTATACAAGACGTAACTTATAGGATCAAAAAATAAACCGTTCTATCTAAAGGCGTTGAAGTAAGTACTTGGGACATTTTAAAAAAAACCACTACAACAAGTTGGGTTCATAGAATGCCACCAATAAATAAGCGTCCTAATAAACCACTTTATAAGACATAATTTATAGGATCAGGAAAAAAAATGTCTTATCTAAAAGTATTGTAATAAGTTTATAGAACACTTTTGGGTGTCGTAATAAGTTTGTTAGGACACTTCTATAAAAACGTCATACTAGCTATTTAATATGACAATATTTGAAAAAAAAAAATGTCTTATAAACACAAATCCTATAAAAGATTAGTTTATAGACATTTTCTCAAAAGTGTCATATAAAACAACTAATGCGACGCTTTGTATTATGGTTGTCCTAAAACACTTGTTAAAACGCTAAAAAACATTATATAAACTTATTACAACATCTTTAGATAGAACACATTATTTTATGGTCCTATAAACTTTTGTTGTATTGAACTTTCTATTAACTATTTTATACAACATTACTTGAAAAAATGTTGTATAAAAACAAATGTCTTATAAAAAGATATATCAATATGACACTTATCAAATATGTCATATAAAATAGCTAATAAGAGTTTTGTATTAAAAGTGTCTTAAAAACTTGTTAAGGTATTATATAAAATTATTACGATATCTTTAGATGAGATATCTTATTATTTATTTTTATAAATATAAGTCTTATAAAATAATCTATTAAAATACGGATGATTGAATTCCTATTTTGTTATTTAGTTATTTTTTCGCTAGAGTTGATTGGATTTATGTGCCAGAAAGAATCGCAAACTTTCTTGGAAATTTAGATGTGGTTTTATGTGTTTAACGTTGACGTGTTGTTGATGTATAATTTGTATCATTGGATGCATGCTGTATGGACACGATATCTTTTCCAAGATTCCAAGTCATCATTTGTCTTTTTATGGAATGTCATATAAATTTTAGAGAAAAAGAACAATATAATTTAATAAGTTATTTAAAAAGTTATTCAAGTGGCATATAAATAATATCTTTTTCCTATTAATCCGTCAAAATTCCACCTAAAATATGATATATACTAGGGTCGTCCTTTAACATGTTAAATGTGAGATTTTGAATAGGACCTCCGAAATTTTGGGGCCCAAGTTTACATGTGTTTACGTGTTTTTATCGACCTGTGTAAAACTATAGCCGAAATTATTTAGGTTCAAACCATTAATTTTATTTGGTTTGAGGTTCAAATCATTAATGGTTTAGGTTTGGTTTCAGATCATTAATCGTTTTAGATTTAACCCATTTTTTTCTTAACATATTTTCTCTGTCATCTCATTTATACAATGTAATCAAAAGTTCTGAATGTAGCAGGACCTCCAAAAAAATTGGAACGTCTTTTTAGAAATGATGCATGCACTATACATATTATATTTGTAGAGAAGTTTTAAATAAACCCCATTAATTAATTAGTACAAATTATACAAATCAATTAAATGAAATATTTATGAAAATTTAAAAGTTTGTTTATCATGATCTAGATATTATTGAAAAATGGTTAGAGTTCAATTATTATGGTTATTGCTTTAGATCAGAAAACAATTGAGATGGTTATGAAGCCCGATATTCATCATATTAGATGGATCGTTGATAGTTTGGTTTCTATGGTTATACTAATTAGAGGTTCGTATTCAGAACTCCTTTTACATATGTATTTGTATATAAATATTCATGTGTGTGTATATATATATAGACTTGGGATCATATGAGACCAAAAGTTTTTCGTAAGAAACTCATAAGACGAATTATCAACCATTGTATTAGATCTACAATATGAACATTCATAATCACAAAATTGCCACGAGACTTCTCAATAATCACAAATTTATCACCGTACAACTTTAAACCATTATATCATTAGCTTATAAAGTTGATCAATAAACATAAACTGGTCTTACAGGTCTCACGAAAAACCCTTAGTTTCACGTGAACTCAACCCTATATATATATATATATATATATATATGGGATTGTGTTTTCGTGATACCAGTCTATTTTCTGAGACCCGTGAGACCATTTTTTTACACTTGAAACTTCACATAAAAATGATGTGAAGGTAAAAAGAAGCCGAATCTATTTTCACAGCAAAAACATTGTGAAAGTTACCTTGACAGCATTTTGCTGTAAAGTTTCAAGTGTAAAAAATGGTCTCATAACTCTCACGAAAATAAGCTGGTCTCACGTGATTTCAAGTATATATATCTATACTATCTTATTAAGCAAATTTAACAAAAGTCTTAAAATCTTAAAATTCTAAATAACCAAGATATCATTTATACTACATTTTAGTCATTTTTTCACTTTTTCACCCCCTTCTCTCCTCACATACACTCACCTTCTCACATACACTCACTCTCTCACAACCGATTTTTTTAAAATTATAATTTTAAATTTATACTTTATACCCCTATAATTATTTAATTAATTTACTTTACGTCATATATTTTTAAATGTTTCATTTTAAACCTTTATCAAATTAACATACATAATTGTATATCAATTAAAACATGTTTAAAAAACACATTTTTATTTTAACAAGTTACACCATTATAATCGTCTCGTTAATACCTTCGAAATGAGTCCAATATTGAATAATTTTTACTTAATTATATTATTATATATTATATGTGAAAAAATATTTTTAATATTTATGATTTATACTTTTATAGTTATTTATTTATATATATACTATATATTTTGGGGTTAGGCTGTTGAAATTGCATTGTATAATATGTTCTGAATTAATATGTTCTTGAGTTTTTTTGAGTTTCTGGACAAGAAAGAGCGTAAGCAGTTAAGATTTCATTCTAAAACCTATCTTTTTTTTTGTCTTTTCATGGGTTATGATCTGTCAAATTTGTAGTTTTCTTTATTGGTTTTGAGTGTTTATCTTAAAACTCAAGTTTCTTGGTTCTTTGCTCTTGGTGTAAATCGAACACATTTGTGGAGTCGTTTAAATATGTTGGATTTTAAATATATTGGATTTTAAACTGTCATGCAATTTTTTTCATCGATAGTCTGTAATTGGAACCATAACTCTTATTTATTCAAATCGTATTAATATGTAAATACCAAGTGTAACTTATATCATCGTTAAATCTTATCTTATAAAACCAGTAGAACTTTAAAATAGTTAAAATTCATAGCTCCTACCGTATTACGCATGTACACAACTAGTATATAAATAAGCATAGGTGTGGTTGGTCAACCATCACGATAATTAGTCAATCTTTAAAAAGACTTAACTTTTAAAATTTGTTTACCCCAACTCTTTTAGCCTATTGACCATTTGAAGTTTTTTACCACCCTCCACTCGTTCTCTCCTGAAAACGAATATTGAAATTCCTACTTTCTTCTCTACCTTTCACGACGCTCGATCACCTTCTTATGTGCTCCAACGAGTAGTAGAAACTTAGTTATGTAACTCGTAAACCCTTGTTTTGTTGTTTTTATTTTGTTTATTATTTGTTTTTTGTTAATTACTTTTATTTATTTATACCTTTATTTAATTTTTTTGGAAAAGGCAATGCAGTAAAATGTTAAGTGGCATAATTAATCTAGACTTAATAACTGTTAATGGGTAATAATTAACTGTTAAGGGTAGTTAAATAACAGTTTATTAACTGTCACTACAAAAATGCAGAGTATCAGCGAGAGAAAAATCCCTTGCAAATCCGTCGTTGAAAGGGCAATCCGTCGTTGATACTCCGTCGGTCAAATAATCGTAGGTAATGCTATCAGCAACGGATATCAGCAACGGATTTGCGATGGATACTTTCAGCGACGGATCAGCGAGGAAATTATTTAGCGACGGATCAGCGACGGATCTGAAACGGATCTTTCAGCGAGGGATCTGCGACGGAACTTTCAGCGACAGATCTGGGACGGAAGTTTCAGCGACGGATTTGCGAGGGAAGTTTCAGCGACGGATCTGCGAGGGAAGTTTCAGCCACGGATCTGCGACGGAAGTTTCAGCGACGGATCTGCGAGGGAACTTTCAGCGACGGATCTGCGAGGGAATTTCAAGGACTTTCAACGGCGATTTTTCCCTCGCTAATCCGTCGCTAATTTGTATAAATTTATTTTTTGAAATTGAATAAATCCTGTATTTATTTATAAAAAACCTGAAAATAATAATATAACAAACCAAAACTGTGAACAAAGTAATCAATTCATAGAATTTAATCTTTGAATACATACAATCTAACTATCAGGAGGTGGGGGAGGTGGGAAAACGTATCCTGACTGCCGCATAAAGGCAGCAAAATGTTCCGATAATGCGGCCTGTTGGACTAATGCAGCAACTTGTCTGGCCTGTTCAGCTGCCGAGGCAGCTTGTCTGGCCTCCAAATCTGCCATATTCTTCCGTTCGGTCTAGTTCCTCTTCTACCCTTGCCAACTTCTCTCTCAACTCCGTTACCTGTAAATATTCAATATTCGACAAAATCAGTAATTTGTTCACAATTTTAGTAATGAGAAGGTTTTTAACAATGTAACCAACGTACCTCCGCTCTTGACTCGTATGATGACCCGCTACTGCTACATCTACCCCTCATGGCATAAGAGGGATCCTGGGTGGTCCCGAAACCAAATATTCGGCCTTTCCTCCGTCCTCCGACACTTTGCTCCCAAAGAGATGCCTCATCAGGGAGAGGGCTGTCGGTACTAGATTGTGACTCACCCCTAAACGATTGAAATCGCTCCTATGGTTCACCAAAACAAAAACGGATGAGGTTATGTATGTAGATATTTCAGCARCATAACGACTGTAAATCAAACATAACCAATGCATGTATTTAACAACTAAGCATTCTAATAATACTAATGTTCGAAGTCACATTCTCAACCTACTTACTTAACCTAACGTCTGCCCAACAATGGCAGCCCAAACTAATAGCATCACTATGTTTATTGAAATATATTACCTTAAACCTACCAAACGTATCTATTAACCAAAGTAATGGTTTTAGAWAACTTACATGATACCTAGCAGCTTTCGRGTAACTGAACTGAGGAGGATCGGTAGGCGGGTCGGACGAACCTTGATCGAACTTCCGGTTCGTRCAGTGAGTGCGCTCAAACACCTCAGTAGCAGTTGGCTCACGACCCATTACTTGTGCCTACATTAGACAATTAGGTTAAGTTGTTACTAACATAAAGAACGAATTACATTTTCAAAAAAGATTAGATACTCACCATCCTGTCTCGATGTTGTACCGTACTAATCGATCCCCCAGTGTGTCTGGACGACACCCCCTCAAACTGGGTGTTCTGATTGGCCCTATTGATCTTGGATTTCCTTTTCCAAGCCTCGGTATCCCAAACCTGTTAAAAACATAGCACATATCTAAGGCGAAAGGCAGTACACATGGCAGTTCGAAAATCTCACAATATAGATGCATACTGTGTCAATCATCTGCAGCCAAAACCTATTTGGTATCCATACGGGATGACGTAATCTAATCCGTGAGAAGTCCTCACCATCCCATTGCTGATCACCAGGATAGGCCTGTGCCACGGCCCAATCACGTGCAGAGCTCATCCAGTCAGAGTACCTGTTGTGCATGGCTTTGGTCCATAAATCGTGAACCGTGTCATCCAGCTCAGGTTCCCACTGGAACTTAGTCTACATATACAATGTTTGTATAAATGTAAAAACAATAACCTTGTATGTATAATTACATTAAAATGGTACACCAACCCTAAAGCGCTGGAACATCAAGTCACGTGCTTTCTGAGGTACTTCCTTCCATCTATGCCACAGACCAGCAAAGGAAGACCTGAAGATAGTCGTCATCTCTCGGATAACATGGGCATCTTTAAACCTGTACAATTAAAAAAATATTTACAACACAAAGACATTCATATTATTTTATTATGTAATACAAAGTCTTATACCACATCTACTTACCCATGGCCTAACAAAGACAGATGTCTTCGGTGGCTCGGATGACTCAGTGTCGGCATCTCTATGTTGGGGCCTCTCCCCGACCCCAAACCTGTCGAAGCTGGGGGCTCCATCGCCACCTCTTGCTCATCTAAACCGCGAAAAGCGGTGTCCGAAAACTTTACAATGTCATCGGCGCGGGCAGAGTTGCTACCCCTACCAGACATGGGGCTGCCGCGACTCCCATGACGGCCTCTACCACGCTCTCGGCATGACATCTCCTGAAAAAACAAACATTAGATGTGTTATAAAAACTTAAGTCTTATAAACTTAAGTCCTATATAGTATTATATTATGAAGCTTAAATATTTTAAGCTACCTATAAACCTAATGTTTTTAGAGTGGGAAACTGTAGTAGGACAAATAAGCATCACATAATTGAAAGGAGAAAGCTTAGCATTTTACATTGACATTGAATCATATCTACAACATGTAAGCACAAGAATCAAAGCAAAAGAAACACAAGGCTATTGACTAGTAAACAGAATATTAATTACTAATATAGATTATTAAAATAATAATTTTTCTTCTAAATATTTGTTATAATTAAGTTATGTTGTAGAATAAATGTGTTATCGTCTAAAAAATATGACAATATAGATAAAGATAAACATAATAGACATAAGATTCTTTATATTTATTACTTAAGATCCAATAATTTATTTTGTTTTCTTTCCAAAAAAACATACCAACATTTTAAGATTTTAATCAATTCATTTTTAAAAATAAAACTATAATTAGAATAATTTTCTATATAACCTAAAAGACCAGTAGAGTTTCTCTTCACTCCATTCTCCCCCTCAAGGCCACAGATTACGCAGGTAACCAACATATCTACTTTCTTTCTTCTTTTCCTTTTCAACAATTTCTTTACTGTTGCTTCCTGTTCATCCCCAAATTTGAAGATCCATCGTCTGTATGTAATTAATCACTTGGCACAAGTCATAACGGCATAAATCGATCAATCCATGGCACAAGTCATAATGGCATAAATCGATCAATCAAACCAAGGTACAATCTTTGATGCATAAAATCTTTGAACACCCATAAATTAAAGAAAACAAACAGAAACAAACCTAAGTAAACGGAGACGGGAAGGCTGTGGTGGTCGACGACGGGAAGGCGGTGGTGGTTGGCAACAGGGTCGTCGGTGGTGGAATACTTCCCTGCATTCCCTCCATTGCCTTCCAATAGATGATGTTGATTTTAGAAGGATTAAGGTTATTCCATCTAGTAGAGAAGTTACATAAGTTGCTCGATACTGTCTCTAGTGTTTCTAATGGAAAAATCATCATTACTATATAGTCTACATCTCCATCTGTCGGCTGAGGAATTTAGAGAAATATTTCTCAAATTCCTTTAACAGAAGCAACAGTTCTTCTAGTTCTTTCCCACCCCGTATATCTCTTTGCCAATTTCAATTAAAAACAACATTTCCAATTCTGTCAACCACCATTGCAGCCCTGTTCTGATCTAAAGCAAAGAGTCTGTGGTGGATATCTCTTAATCTACCATCCCCAGTCCAATTTTCGTTCTAAAAGGCAGTATTTTTGTCGTTTCCAACCTGTTTATACATAAGATCATCAACAACCATACATTTCACCTTCCACCATTTCATCACCTTTATGACATTAGACCATGGACCTTGTCCACCAACACCCGTCTAGTAACTGTCGAGACCACCGTCAAGTCCACGTATCACCTTCACCACATTCCCCATATAGACGTTGTTTCATTAATAAATCTCCACACCCACTTACTAAGAAGTGCAATGTTGGCAGCAACAATACTTCCCAAGGCTAGCCCACTTTTATCAAAACTTCTAACGGTGGAACTCTACTTGATCCTTGCAATATTTCGCTCCCCGCTATCTGCCCCCAAGAAAAATCTCTTCAGATTTTCTCCAACTTTTTGACCACAGGGACCGAGGCTTTAAAAATGGACCTAAAGTAAGTGGCTAAACTTCCCAAAATAGCCTTGAATAAAACTCTCCTTCCACCAATTGATAAAGCTATAACTTTCCATCTTGAAAGTCTTAATTGAAATTTTTCCATGATCGGATTCCAAGCATTTATGCTGGACATTTTTGCACCTAACGGAACACCAATGTATTTACACGGAAATATCCCAACCTTGCATTTTAGGTCATTGGAAGCCCATTGAACCCTTCTTTATCCACTCCGACACCAAAAATGTTGCTTTTATAGAAATTGGTGATCAAAAGCATATATTCTTCTCATTCACAAAGGCGTATATAAATATACAAAGATGTACAATAAATTCCTAAAGTACAGTAAAGGTAAAAAGGAAACAACCTAAGGAATAGGAAAGAATACGACGAGAACTAAGGGAGGAGAATAAGGAGGAAAATAAGGAAAGGATAATGAAATCCGTTACTCCCCTCAAGCTGGAGAATGGAGGTCACGAGTGCCCATCCTTAACTGGAAGAACTGGAAACGTTCCATCCTTAACGTCTTAGTGAAGATATCTGCCACTTGGTTGGTGGTATCTATGCGGAATGGCTTAATTTCTTGGGATTCAACACGTTCACGTATGAAATAACAGTCCATTTCAATGTGTTTAGTCCGTTCATGAAAGACTGGGTTGTTTGTTATATGTCGGGCAGCTTGGTTGTCACAGAAAAGTTGGGTTGGCCCGACGCGGCTTCAAGGTCATGAAGGAGCTACCGTATCCACAATATTTCACTTATTGTCGTTGTTATGGCTATGTATTCTGCTTCAGTAGAAGAACATGAGACAACGGATTGATTCTTTCTCTTCCACGCACGGGTGCGCCTCCTAATAAAATCAAGTAATCGGAGCGTGATCGCCTTGCAAAAGTACAACCTAGCCAATCTGAATCACAATAAGTGACAAGGTCCAAACCGCCATCCTTTGGAAAGAAAATTCCTTGTTCAAGTCGGCTTGAGATACCGTTAAACTCTAATTCCAACGTCCATATATGTCTGTCGAGGATCGAAAAAAATGAGAGGTGTACCTATGGTTATAAGGGTGGTAATGTCAGATGTGGGTATCAATATAGCTTTTGTTATTATCACTAATTAGATACCATAATTCTAAATCAACATTTCTTAGTGACTTGATGAATTAGAAGTATTGTTCACTTTAAAAATAATAATTTAGATGTTATTGAGAAAGGAAAATGGTTTGTCATCAGAGGCTTTGATTGCCTAAAAGTTTTCTATCGAAGTTTTAAATACATATGTGAATGATACAGAGGAGCTCTGGTTGGTCTTCTAAAAAGGACCAGAGGACCTCTGGTCATGTGAAAAGACTTTAAAATATTTTGGGGTTTTTATGAATCAGAGGCTCTGTATCTTGAAAATAGTTATTTTATAATTTGTCTAAACTCTGTACTCGAGCTCTGTGTCTGAGCTCTGTATCAGAGCTCTATCTTTAAAAATTTATATTTTATTAAAAATATTTATAAAAAGAGCAAAGAACTAGAGAAACTCTGATTCTAACTTATTTGTCTTTTAAAATTTATGAAAAGTTCCTTCTGGACCATAGGCTCTATTTTTTTCAGAAGATCTCTGGTTGAGTATTGTATCAATTAGATACAGAAGCTCTGGTCAGTAATACCATAAACTCTGGTTGGTAAGGACATAGGAGCTCTGGCCCGTTGAGCCAAAGGGGCTCTGGCCTGTTGAGTGAGAGTTTTATACTAATCTTTGGGTTATAAAGTAATGCATTTGGATTAAGTATGGAAGCAATCTGTTGACCTTATATTATGATTATCCAATCAGAATACATATGTTTGTTGAAATGCATTTATTTCTGATCAAAAGATATTTTATCAGGTTTTGGTGATTTTTCACCCTGTATTTGCAAAGAAGGGATTTACTCACTAGATCTTCTGGTCTAACCCTCATTTCGTGTTTCAAAAATGTGCATTGCAGGATCTGCGAGGTTGCGGGATAATAAGGGGAAGGGAAAAATGTAATTATTTCCCTATATGTTATCTGCTTATGAAGATCGACCTGATGATTGCATATTTTGAAGATACATGTTGTCATATATGTAATAGTACAAGAATATTATTTTGGAATTTTTCATGTGTATGTTTTGTACATATAGAATCCTTGTACTAGTGGGACCTATGTGGTGTAATATATATATTTCTTTTATATGAAATATGTGCTATATGTAAATGTGGAGATTGGGGTGTTACAAAAGGTGGTATCAGAGTCTGAGTTTAAAGGATTTAGGTATTTAAAGCATGATGCCTAAACTTAAACTATCATTTGCATATTAAGGGTCCCTAACATAGATAGTATCATTGGGAATAAAATATAATGGGTTCAAGAGGGCAGTATGTAAGGTGAATTCGAACTACAAATGACCAATGTAATTATGAATTTAGTGATACATCTCTATACCCGGACACCTTATTATATTTGAGAATGTGAATACGTGATATTTAATATTAAAATATCTGTATATGGCCAGTCGATCAAGAAGGTCTGAAAGGATCGCCCGCCCTAATCCAGATGAAAGAGATGAATCTCCCGATAATGCTTCGACCAATATTTCTAGGAGCCGAAGCAGGGGAAGAACCAGGGGTAGAGGCCGAGGGAGGAGTCTGGCCTAAGGAAGAAGTCAGACTAAGGTTCGTCTTGATCAGAGGGAATCTATTTTGGGAAACATTAATCACGAGCATGAACCACAACCAGAATACATAACTAGGGATGTTTTGGCTGAAGAAATGAGCAAATTGAGAGAGACTTTGGTATCCATTATGGGATTGCCAGCCAGAGTAGAAACTGAACGAGTTGGAATAAATCCTCCAGCTCCTTCAATAGGCAGTAATAAAAGGGGAGGAGACATAAAAATGTTTCTAACATGTAAGCCCCTAACGTTTTCAGGAGAGAGAGATTCAGTAAAGGCAATGTGCTGGATAAAAGAAATAGAATCGGTGTTTAACACCAGTAGATGGTCCGAGGAAGATAAGGTTAGATTTGTAGTCTCAATGTTAAAATCTAACGCTTTATACTGGTGGGATGTAGAATCAGTGGCTCAGCCAAATATTCTGCAAACAATGTCTTGGGAAGAATTTGTGATTAGATTCAAAACACAATTATGTCCTAAGACTGCAGTGAAGCATATGGAAGAAGATTTTCTGAAACTGGAATAGGGTAGCAGGTTTGTACAGGAATATACTGAAAAGTTTATCGAATATTCCCTATTCGCAGAACATTACGTTTCTTCAGAACCTCGAAAGGAAGAAAGGTATATTTGGGGTCTGAAAGCCTCCATCAGAGAATTTATGATTGCTATGGACCCTGCTACCTTCTCTCTAGCTGTGAATGCCGTCGAAGTAATTGAAAGAAATAAGAATCGGCAGGGTGAAGAGAAAGTAGTGGAGAAACGAAGATGGGAGGGGTCTTCAGCCAGTTTTTCAAAGACCCAAATTCATAAGGACAGATAATCGACCTCTTCAACAACCATCTGCTAGAGTCTGTCCGCTATGTCAACAGGTGCATCAAGGAAACTATCAACCTGAACCAAAGAGATGCTATCTTGAAAATAGTTATTTTATAATTTGTCTAAACTCTGTACCCGAGCTCTGTGTCTGAGCTCTGTATCAGAGCTCTATCTTTAAAAATTTATATATTCTTAAAAAAATATTTATAAAAAGAGCAAAGAACCAGAGAAAACTCTGATTATAGCTTATTTGTCTTTTAAAATTTATGAAAAGTTCCTTCTGGACCAGAGGCTCTATTTTTTCCAAAAGATCTTTGGTTGAGTATTGTATCACTTAGATACAGAAGCTCTTGTTAATAGTACCAAAAGCTCTGGTTGGTAAGGACAGAGGAGCTCTGGACCGTTGAGCCAAAGGGGCTCTGGCCTGTTGAGTGAGAGTTTTATACTAATCTTTCAGTTATAAAGTAATGCATTTGGATTAAGTATTGAAGCCATCTGTTGACCTTATATTATGATTATCCAATCAGAATACATACGTTTGTTGACATGAATTTATTTCTGATTAAAAGATATTGTATCAGGTTTTGGTGATTTTTCACCCTGTATTTGCAAAGAAGGATTTACTCACTAGACCTTCTGGTCTAACCCTCATTTTGTTTTTAAAAAATGTGCATTGCAGGATATGCGGGGTTGCGGGATAATAAGGGTAAGGGAAAAATGTAATTATTTCCCTATATGTTATCTGCTTATGAAGATCAACCTGATGATTGCATATTTTGAAGATACATGTTGTTATATATGTAATATTACAGGGATATTATTTTTGAATTTTTCATGTGTATATTTCGTACATATAGAATCCTTGTAGTATTGGGACCTATATGGTATAATTTATATTTCTTTTATAGAAAATATATGTTATATGCAAATGTGGAGATTGGGGTGTTACAGCCTCTAATTGGCCCTTGCTTCTATTAGGCCTTGTTTTTTGTTGGCCTTGCTCTGGTTGGTAGGACTAGAGGAGCTCTGATTGGTCTTGCTTTGTATGATGCAAGTTATACCCATGAAGTGCAACTCTAAAGTATAACTCTGAAGAATGACTCTTCAGACTTATAACTTTGAATTGCAACTCTGAAGGATAACTCTGAAAAATAACTTTTCAAAATTGTAACTCTAAAGTAGAACTCTGAAGATTGACTCTTGAGACTTATTTCTCCTATCTCTGAAGATAAGCTTGCAGATTCAGACTTAGTCTCGTATGCTCATTTCAGAAGTTTGAAGTCTTCTTTTTTAGACTTAGCTTACCCAAAGTCTAAAGTCTTCCTTTTCAGACTTAGCTTACCCGAAGTCTGAAGTCTTTTTTCAGACTTAGTTCACTCAAACTCTGAATTCTGGACTTCCAAACTTCCATATTTGGCCCAAATTGTTTTAAATAAAACTTTCATGATATTTAAGAGAATGTTGGTCCTAACAGTTGGTATTACAATATGGATTTATTTGTTGATTTTCACCATGTAATTGCATCAAAGGGATTTATCATTAGACCTCAAGGTCTAACCCTCATTTTGTGTTTCAAAAAATGTGCATTACAGGTCGGGATCAATCTAAGGATAAGGAAAAGGGGAAATTATGAGATGTCATATATGCTTAAATGAGATGTGGAAGAGAGCATGCTTATCTGTAGTTTTTTTTTTTAAATACTTGTTATGTATACAAGTTATGTATATAGATGTTGTGAAAAAATTTGTTAGCTAATTTTATAATGTAGCTTTTGTATATTTGACACCGAATATGTATATTTGTATTTCTTGATATATGAAATACTTGGTTATATGCAAATGTGGTACTGGGGGTGTTACATTTTGTGGCACTAAAGATTAGATTGGAGATGCCTTTACAAAGGTTCTTCAAGTTGGAAGTTTCAATCGAACAAAGGTTGGTTTAGGAATATCACATGTCTAGCTTAAGGGGGAATGTTGAAAGTAAGCTACGTGTCAGTCAAGTTAGTTATTCCTAATTATGATTAAGCAGTTATTTGGTTTGTTTTGAACCGTTGTATTGTTTAGAAGGGTTACAACGGTTGGGTTGCATATGTATTTATAATCATGCATGTGTATAATTGATTGTTGATACTGTAACCAAGTATCATAAAAAGGCATTCAATGTTCATATGTTATTCCTTCTTCTCCTCCATCTTTTTCTAACAATGTAGACGTCATGTTGACTACAATGAAGTCATAATCATGGCCAAGTCCTCCCAGAATGTAGAGGATGAGCTCTTCATCAGTGATAAGTTGACCAGTTGCAAAGAGGTCTTCAAGTAGGTTTCTCATTTTTAGAATGTAATCATGAATGTATTGACTACCTTTCTTGAGAGATTGCAACTGAAATCGAAGCTGAATAGTTTTTGCTTTGGAACTGGTGGTGAACAACTCTTGAAGAGTGTTCCACACATCAAGAGATGTAGGTCAACGTACAACATGCCCAAACATTGACTCACAAATGGAGTTGAGCAACTAACTTAGGATGGTTTGATCAGTGCGCACCCAGATGGTATACGTGAGCGGTATGATAGCAAATTTGGTATTGAATCAGGGACGGACCCAAGAATTTTTGGATACGATGGCACCATATAAAACGGTCGTACCCAGTGGCGGATCTAGAAACTATTATGGTTGGGGGCACACTTAGGAGGGTCGAAAAAATTTCGAAACCGAACAATTCGTCCGAACCAAAAAAGGTTTTGGGTTTTCATTTTCAGCTTAAACTGTTCGATTAACCGAATAAAGATAACTGATGCGGTTGAAATAAGCTAGGCATTGACCCTACAATTTATATTTGTTGAGTGAATATGACTTGTATATTTACCTTTTCATGTGTGGTACTGAGTATCCTGCTTACTGAAATGCAATAATGTGGTGAAGATTGACTTCTAAGGCTTATGTTTTAATCTTTTTGTACTTTTCTTAAGATGAGCACCCAAGGACACCTACCAACTAGGAATTATTCATTCTGCTTGATCATATAAGTCACAAATAACACTTGGATCTTTAATTGTCTTGCATACTGCTTTTCAACACAAAACTTTACCAAATTAACCTAACATTTCCATTTGTATAACATTTCCATTTTCCATTTGCCTACAAAATTAACCTTAACATTTCCATTTGATTTGCCTACAAAATTGCAAAATTAACCTAACATTTCCATTTGTATACAAAATTGCAACATTAACCTAACATTTTCATTTGTCTATATAATTGCAAAATTAACTTAACATAAAGCATTTATCAAATCACCAATTGTGAAGCAAACAACAAAATTAAAGTAATTAAACATTAAAGACTGGAATTTGGATATTAGAATTTTTACCCAAATTATTGGAAGCCGTAAGGAAGAAGCAGGCAACAGCGATGAGCCGATGATTGATGAAGAAGAAGAAGTAAAGAAGAAGCACTGAAGCAGCGACGGCGTGACCGCATGATGAAGAAGAAGAAGAAGCGCAGAAGCAGTGGGGTGAAGGCGTGTGTGATGAAGATTGAAGACTGATGAAGAAGGAAATGGAAGTGGGGTGGGGCCTTCATGGTCTGCTTGTTGGGGGCCCAATTGTTTTAAATTAAAAACTAAAAGTAAAAAAAAATTGGGCTTTGAAAAATATATTTTGTTGGGGGCCAGGACCCCAACCAACTCTTCATGCATCCGCCCCTGGTCGCACATTCTAGAATAAAACGGTTGCACCTTTCACGAACCTATATTTTTTATCTTATCGCAGAGGAACAATACGGTGGCACGTACCACCTAACCACCTCTCTAGGTCTGTGTATGCGTTGTACAATGGGTAACATATACAACAACAAACTATACCAAAGCTGAATCAGCCTTGTCTCCTGATTTGGAAGTCTTCGTGGTACCTTGTCATCACATTCTGAGGCACAGAGTATAATACATGAGCTTAAATTTCAACTTCTTCACTAGATATTTTATCCGTCTCAAAATAAGTGTCTATAATAAAAATATATACAATTTTAATAATGCATAATTATTACACTTTTTAATTATTGAATGTCAATTTTACCTTAATAAGAGATGGTGTAATGAACTTTTTTATATCATAATTGAGGGTACAATCGAAAAGAATCCACTTTTAAGATTAATCATTTATTTAAAAACAAACTAAATTAGAAATGTAAACACTTATCTCATAATGGATGGAATAACTTTATTTTCTAAAACAAGAAGTTATCAATTCGTTCTTCTGCAATTGGTCCGAACCTCTCCGCTTGATCCAGTCAATGGGTTGAGGTTACTCATCTTAATCATCGCATTTGCAAAGTCAGTCGAAAAGGTTGCGGAATTTGAACTGTAAGTTCTCACTTGGGCATCAGTTGAACCATTATTAAATAGTTCTTGATCCGAATGTAACACACCACTTTGACTTATCAAATTACTGAAGTATGCATTGTCGAATGACGTGGGAGAAACGACGTCTAGTGGCGACAAGTTATTGTCACCTCCACTTGAAGGACAATTTGCTCTTAGCGATGTAGCAAACGACGAGTTTATGTTGTTCTCGTTATAGAGACGAGCTCGAAATACTGTGCACCTTGCTTGCCCAATTGTATGAGATCCTATATTAGAAGATGTTATATTTATCTAGTAACAGACACAAATATATCTCATAAGAAAATGGGGTAGTTGTTTTATTTTATTTATCAAAAGTATCCTTCATCATCCAAAAAACAGGATTTAAGATGTAATAGTGATAAATTTATAAATTTCAGGTCTATTCCATACATTTTATAGACCCTGAGCGAGATAAAAAAAAGGACCCTGAATAAGAATAATTTTTTTCAATATATTGTTTGTATTATACAAAATAGCATTAAATGTAAAATATACTAATAATTCATATAAAATCGTTTTTCCAAATATTATTAGACGCAAAATCAATCGATAATTGTTGCTAAATTAATATTACCTATCATATTATTTTTACATAGCATCGTCAATTCATTGTTACTGCCAGACACATTCTAGGATGTATCTTTAGCATATATAGTGACATCATTTGGATCACAATCTTAATTATTCAGAGTTCCGCTTTATATAAATCAGTTGGGTTTCCACGTCACATCATGTTAATGCTTTCATCACCATTTTAGACTTTTAGGATTAAAACAAACTTTCTAGGAAACCATTAATGTTATAATCAAAAGTATATCTTGGTTATAGTTTGAGATCTTATTCATATTTTAGAAATAAGAAAATACTTAAAATTCATACACTAAATATTATGTAATAAGGAGTCAACAATATATGGAAAAACAATTGTATTTTTGAAATTCTAAATATAAATATAAGTTAAACCGTCTCATATGTTTGGTATTTTTTTTACAGGTATGAGTTTTCTTAGTTAATAACAAAAAATTTACTATACTCTAACACAAAAATAAAAATTTATGCGGATGGAATAATAAAAAAAGTTTGTGGAAGAAGAATGATGAAGAATATATCAGTATTTTCTAGTCAAATTACTCTTAGTATTTAATAGTAGATAAAAAAACTTACTACAGAAACGATAAACAATACTATAAAAAGAACCAATTCTTTTTTTTACATATTTTCTTCTCCGATGTAATTGATTAATAGATATTAATGTAATACAAAACAATTTGTCTCTTTTATTTTTCAATTTTTTTGAACTACTACTATATATATTATATAGTATATACTGAATAACTTTAAATTAGACCTGTCTAAAATTACGTTAAAATAAAACATATTTTATTTCGGTTATTATTTTAAAAAACCCATATTTAAGAGCTTGATTTTAATGTCTTCAACAAGACATTTCAAACAATATATATAGTTTTCTAAAATCTTATTTCCAAAATGGTTTTTTCAAAGTTATAATACATTATTTTATATTAAAAAAAAAGTATTATATTTTCTTATTATTATATCAAAAAGATACTAATTTAAGCCTTTTAAAAATAGGTTCGTCAAAGTGAAAACCACAATAAAATATTTTCCATTTTGACAAAGTCGGCCATTATGAAATTGTATTAATTTTATGGTTGGGAAATGGTGCTTACTAAAATGTAACGATTTATAACTTTTTTGAAGGGTATCTCAGATTATATCTGATTTAATCTTGGTAAATTGTGATTATAAGAAAATCAACATTGATAAATTCAGTGACCACAATTGTTTTGTATGTTTGGAATCGAGCCCTGCACAGATGGAATATCCTACTACATCCTCCAGGACCTTAACCATTACATCACAACCCTTGTAGTTAAAGATTTATAAATTAAAGGCTAATTTGGGATCGATGATGAAAAATGACGTGAACAATGGGATGAAACTGAAGCGAGTGTGATCTATGCATTATATAAGATCACGTTTACAGGATGTCAAAAGTGTCTAAGTGTTTTAATAGACTGTTTTATGTAGTTAAGTCTACTAGACTAAATAATTGTTGGTCTTATGTAAAAGGGATGCCAAAAATTTATAGGATGTTTTTGGACATTTCAACAAACATTTTTGAAAACATATAAAATAAACTGTCGTGTTAGCTTTTTATATGATACTTTTGAGAAGTGTCGTATGAACACATCTTTTATAAGCCTTTTTCCAATAAATGGCATATAAAAAAATAAAAATATACTTTAATAGTGTTTTGGAATATAATGAATAACAATTTCATATTCATCATGAATGTGTTATTCATGATCAATATTCATTATAAAGATGGATGCATGGCGCCTGTGATGGTTCCAGTTTCCTATCTGAACTTCCCTTGTATATGTATAAAGAGAGATATAGGGAGAGAGAATGTTAATTACCTGATAGAGCAACCATTTCATTAGCATTAAACCCTTGGTTTGAAAAGGAGGATATGAGACCACTAAGGTTCAAAGTAGGTGCAGGAATGTTGGAATTAGCCGCACTCAAACTAGCCGTGGTCGAGTCCCTCCGGCCAAACACAAGGTTCCAACTCGGGCCACCAAGCTAAAAACCGAATGAAATGGTTATACCAATAAATTGTGTATATAAATTATTCATAGAATACGTAATTTATAAAAATCGGTTGTGATTCTTACTGCTACAACCGAATCACGGGCTGCGGTTGTTAATATATCTGCACAAGAGACAACACCAGGGCATGAACTCTCTAATTGACTTTTAATGGTGTCGATAACGTCGAATCCTCTCAACGAATTGTTATTAGGTCCCGCTGTTTTTTCTCCTGTGAAATTTGCAGTATCATCCAATAACACCGATGCATCACATCCCTTCGCAAATATGAAAAAAGTTGTAAGTTGAATGATTATACGTCTACAGTGCATCTATACAAAACAAACTTACATATAACACGCAAATTGCACTAAAATATAACCAGTTTCAAATGCTTTTAGTTTAAGGGACCCATGATTAAAAGGATGTTCCCTGAATTGTAAACAAAAGCAAGTTACTTTATGATTAAATTATACGTCAAAAAATGTAAAAATGAATTTGATGTTGATGTATATGAGAAGATATTAGTATTAAGATGCATTTAACATATACTTAGACGTCGTTTACCAAACGCTTACACGAGTAAGCGCTTACCAAATGACATTACCTCACGGAATGAATATGATAAGGACCAAAAATCTTACCCAATAAGAACGAGACAAAGACTAAGAGTCTTACCAAATGATATTACCTCTATATTGCTAAATGCATCCATACCTACTAATTTTTTTATCCCAAATATCAGCATCAAGACTTACTTTTTACATTTCAATGCATGATTTTACTTAATTTTGACATAAATAGGGGTGCATATAACAACATCATATTGTTAAATGCTACCTACTAATTTTTCTTCTCAGACACATCAATATCAAAACTTACTTTTTACATTTTTAATACATGATTTTAATCTACTTCTAACCTGAATGAATAAAGGTGGATAAAATAACACCTCCTTAGAGTTATAGTATGGGGGAGACTAATTGCACCTCTATACATTGTTAAATGCAATTCCTACCTAGCTAGCACTTTCCTTCTCATACATATCAACATCAAAACTTACTTTTTACATTCTCAATACATGAATCACTATAACAAAATCGGGTTTATAGGACACTCACAAATTCTAAGTGTCCTAATAGACCTCTTTATAGGACCAAAAAAATAAAGTGTCCTATCTAAAAGTGTTGTAATAAGTTTATGTGACGTTTTTTTTGACGTCGTAATAAGTTTTTTAGGACATTTTTCATATAAAGTCTCTCATTATCAACTTTATAGGACACTATTTGAAAACTTGTCCTACAAAAACAAATGTCCTATAAAAATTTGAGTTTATAGATTACTTTCTCAAAAGTGTCATATAAAGTTGTTAATGCGACACATTTTATTAAAAATGTCCTAAAAAACTTGTTAAGACACCAAAAAGCGTCATATAAACTTATTACAACGCCTTTAGACAGGACGTTTTATATTTTGGCCCTATAAATTAAGTCCTATAAAATGGTCTATTGGAACGCTTAAACATTAAAGATGTCTTATAAACCCAATTTTATTGTAGTGAATTGACCCGATTTTAACATTAAAAGGGATGAAAATAACATCCCGCTATCAATACGGAACAAATAATGAGAGATGAAAATGGCGTAGAACAATAGCCATATTTGGTTGATTGGGTAAAGTCAACAACCAAATACCGCGTAAAAGAAAACATGAAACATAAATAACACACGTGTTCAACCCTCACTGAATGATATTTCTTAATCCAAGTGAAATCATATGGTCAATATAAAATATTCATTAGAATAAGTGGCATGCTTAATGGTTAAGCTATTACTACCTTATTCGCTTGGTGAACTCATAAAAGGTTGGTTGGCTAGCTAATTTTAATAGAACATAGAGCCATTATAATAGAGCATAACAACATGTATAATCATAAATAAAAAAGTGGAGATCAGTGAAGACTTGCATTAACGAAGCAATCATGAAAGTGAAGTCGAAGTAGCGAAGCACCCATTCGAGCTTCATTTGAAACGGCAGAGCTCACAGCGTTTGATATAATAGAGCTGAAATTAGCGCATGAGGTCGCGTAAAAGTTGGCCGAAAGTTGACCTGAGGCCGTCCCGAGCAAAACCCATAAACAAGATATGTATGTTACTATGACATACGAGTAAGAAGACGGCGAATGAGCCATGAGTTTTACGCTTACAAGAATGATGAACAAAGGAGATGTATAGAGAAAGAAAATGAGTTGTGTTGCTTAGAGAAGTGTTTATATGCCTGGAGATGTGTATATATATATAAGGAAAGTAGATGGTGATTTTGTAAATAACTGAAGGCATCTATTACAGCTGTAATTTCTTAGAGATAATGAAAGGTTAGATTTTGTAATTTTATGATTCAACCAATTCTTTTAACTTTTTTTATAATAGAGAAATAAAAAGTATAAATATTGACAAGATATTTACATTCCATTTTTAGCAATTTCTGTCGTGCAGATTTGAACAATAATTTAGAAAATTGTTACATAAATTTATTTTATATATAAGATATTAAAAATGTTTAAGTGTCTTAATAGACTGTTTTACAAGACATTAGTTTATAGTATCAAATAGTTGTGTATCCTATATAAAAATGTTACAATAAGTTAATAAAACATTTTTGAAAATTTTAACAAATTTTTCGGAACACATTTTAAATAAAATATTTTATTAGTTTCGTTATATAATGTTACTTGAAAACGTGTCGTATGAAAACAAGTATTGTATAAAAAAAGATGCCTATAAAAAGACTAATACGGCAATTTAGTTTTAAAATGTCCTAAATTGTTAAGACGCCCAAAAACGAACATCTTATTACGTTATCATAACACTTTTACATATGATGCATAATTGTTTGGTTTGATAAATTTAAGTTCTATAATTTATTTCGGGAATCTGCTTTTGAAATATTTTTCTTAATGTTCATCACAATATATGCACAAAACATATCAAACAAGCAAGGGCTTCGAATTGACAACTTCTGAGCTGTTTCATATCGTCCCTACCGAAAAGCATCACATAAAACGCAAATCGTTTATATAAAGGCCCGATAGGTGGTTTAAGATCCCGATTCCCACAAGAAATGCAATTACTAACGGAGTTGTACTTCCGACACTATAGTTATACCATACTAGAATCTTTATACATTTATATCATTTCAAAACCAATTGTAGTACCTTGTGAAAGTTACAAATATTTTTTTGTTTACGGATCAAACAATTATTTTTTTTAAAATTTATTAGCAAATTTTACTTTAATTTGATTTTCTTTTAAAAAGTAAAATTAAGCTTTTGTGACTATAGATTTTTTTTCAAAATAAAATATTAATAAAATATATTTTATTTTGATGTAAATTATATTTCAAATAAAAAAATATATAAAAACGTTTTTTTTAAATTAATGATTTTCACGCTTGAATGTGATGCACATGCATGCATAATCATGTTTGAAATCGCTATATTTTCAATAAAGTCGGCAGCTGATCTCACTTACTACTACCCTTGATATTGAAAGCTTAACGACCTATGAAACTTTCAATCATTCTAGTCTGTTTCAAAACTATTGGTTTTCGTATTACAAATTATTTCATAATTGAAAGATAAGATATTTTAATCAAAAAGTTAAAAAAAAAATTCATAAAATTATAGTTATCTTTTATTGCATTAAAGAGAAAGTATATCTCTTTATTTCTATTGACAGCTATTTAAATATGTAAAACCTTATTAGATTGCTTTTTAAAAGAGGCTTTGGGTAGAGAAGGGATGTTCCGTTATATATAGAGGAAAAAATGGTGCAAGCCTAGCCGATGTGAGATTTTAACACCCCCTCCTCCAATGGAGGATAGATGGCACATAAACTATCAAGTGATATAGAAGGGGGCTAGACCAGTGCGGGGCTACACGAGTATATATTACCCTGTAGTAGAAATTGACTCTAATTTATGTAGAACCCTATAAGGTTACTCTGCAAAAGAGTCATTGAGTAGATAATGGAGGTTTTATATATAGAAGAGAATAGATTCAAGTTTAACTGATGTGGGACTCTAGCAACATCTATAATGGAGTTTCTTGTTGGAGCATTTGTAAGACCTACCACAGAGGACATTGGTTCTTGTCTGTTTAGTCACGGGTTCTTATAAAAACTCATACGCTTGAACAAATCTTGGGTTCTTGTAGTAATTCTTGTTTTATATTAGTTTATTTTGTTTTGAGTAAATTATGGTTTACATCCCCATTGTTTATTAAAAATTTTGATTTTCATTCCCGATCTTCACTTATTACATTGGTGGTCACTGTGGTTTGTATTTTATTGTGTTTTCCGTCCTTAACGCTGACAACAATTAGAGTCCGTTAAAAATAAGGGTTGTTTCGATGTTTTTACTTTTTTAACTAAATATTTTGTCATTCCCTAATTAATGCACCCCACCTTTCTCTTTCCCCTATCATTCCTTCACCAAAGTTTCAACCCAACCGGCATCTCCATCTTCGGCAATTACAAACCACCCTAACCACTGCAACAAAATGCAAAAACACGTTGAAAGTTCAACTTGACCAGTACTGTCTCTGACGCCCACGACTGTTTTTCTTCTAGATTTGCTGTCATTGATCAAATCAAATTAGATTAACAATTAATAAAATATGTTTTTCTTCTAGGTTTTATAGTCATCAATCAAAATCCATGTTTCTTGGTCAATTTTAACCTTGTCCTATCTTGGATTTTCTTCTAGTGTATTATTATGGAACAAGTGTCCTATAAAAAATGTGTTTGTAAAACGGTTCTCAAAAATGTCACGTGAAAAGGGTTAATAGGACATTTAGTTTCAAAAGTGTTCTAAAAAATTGTTAAGAAATGCAAAAATGTCATATAAACTTATTACAACATTCTTAAATAAGACATACAAGTATTTGGTTCTATAAATAAGTTGTATAAAGTTGTCTATTAGAAAATTAAAGCAATATATACATCATATAAATCCCATTTTTTTGTACGGATCACTAAGTTCTACATGTTTTTGACAATTTTCAAGTTTTTTCTACATTCTATAATATCTTCGTCAATTAAACTATCAAGTTTCCAACTCAGCTAAATTTATTTCATTTTTCATTTTTGCATTTTATTGTTTTACAGATCTACATGTATTTACATTTGTTTATTATTAGTTTTTTATTTGTTACATGTTATTTGATTTAAGGTTCTCGAGTTTGTTATTTTCACTTAAAGATTGATACTAGTTTGTCTTTATTGATGATTTATGGGCTTTTGTTATTTAATTTCTTTCTAACTGAATCTAATTTATTCGCCTATGACGTTTGTTACTGACTATTAGTTTATGCGTTTATTAACTACTAAAAATTCTGATTTATCTTTCACTAGGTGTGTTATAAATTTGTTAATTCCAAGTGGCAACATGTTGTTTTATTGCAAATTCACTATAACAAAATTGAATTTATAGGACGTCCACAATCTCTAAGCGTCCCAATAGACCGCTTTATAGGACTTAATTTATAGGACTAAAATTTAAAATGTTCTAGAACATTTTTGAGAAAATGTTCTAGAACATTTTTGAGAAAATGTTCTATAAACTTAATTTTTTATAGGACAATTTTTCAAATAGTGTCCTATAAAATTGCTAATGGGACGTTTTATATTAAAAGTGTCCTAAAAATTTTATTAAGACATCAAAAAACGTCATATAAACTTATTACAACGCCATTAGATAGAACACTTTAATTTTTAGTCGTATAAACTAAGTTCAATAAAGAGATCTATTAGGATGCTTCACTACTAAAAAACCAGGTATCAGCGACGAATATCAGCGATCAGCGAGGGATCAGCGAGGGAAATGCCAAAAAACACATTCCCTCGCTGATCCCTCGCTGATCTGCGAGGGAAATATTCCGTCGCTGATCTCTCACAGATCAGCGAGGGATCAGCGAGGGAAATGCCAAAAAACACATTCCCTCGCTAATCCCTCCCTGATCTGCGAGGGAAATATTCCGTCGCTGATCCCTCACAGATCAGCGAGGGATCTGCGAGGGAAATGCCAAAAAAACTCATTCCCTCGCTGATCCTTCGTAGATCAGCGAGGGAATTGCCAAAAAACTCATTCCCTCGCTGATCCCTAGCTGATCTGCGAGGGAAATAATAAAATTCAAATTCCATCGCTGATCCCTCGCTGATCTGCGAGGGAACAGCGAGGGAATTTGTATAATTCACATTCCCTCGCAGATCCCTCGTTGATCTGCAAGGGATCAACGAGGAAAAATGTTTTTTTTTATTTTCTCATTTTTATGTGTTATATGTACATATTTTTATGTGTTATATGTACATATTTTTATGTGTTGATATCGTATGTATGCATGTCATGTGTTGTTTTTGTGTGTGTGTGTGTGTATATATATATATATATATATGTTGTGCTTGCTAACCGCGATATGTGCATGTGTTATAAGTATATATAACCGTCGTGAGGGAAAATGATTTATTCCATTTTTTTAATTTTATAACTACTAATTTAATTGCTTATAAATTATTTATTAATAATTATTTATTAGATTATTGCAAAAATTAATTAATAAAGCTGATGATTAAGCCCAATAAAACCGAATAAAACCCATTAAGGGCCAATAAACCAAATAAAGTCAAATAAAACTAAATAAAGTTCATTAAGGCCCGATAAACTCAATGAAGCCCGGTAAATAGATTAAAGCCCAATAAAACCGAATAAAGCCCAGTTAAATAGGTTAAGCCAATAAAATCATATAAATCTAACACACACACACATACTGTTTATACATTCACATATACACGTACCTTTAAACATATATTCATCTATCCAATCGTGGTTAGCAACCAGTACACATCGTGTATATATGTGTATATAACATTGACCGACGGGTATACATACATATAACACATACAACGTCGTGTAAACATATGTATATAACACGAGCTAACGGGTATATATGCATGTGTTATAAGTATATATACCCGTCGGTCAATGTTATATACATATATGTGTACACGACGTTGTATGTGTTATATGTATATATACCCGTCGGTCAATTATATATATACATATATACACGATGTCTACTGGTTGTTAACCACGATTGGATGGATGAATATATGTTTAAACGTATGTGTATATGTGAATGTATAGACAGTGTGTGTGTGTGTGTGTTATATGCAGATTTATATGATTTATATGGGTATATATACTTATAACACATTCACATATCAAGGTTAGCAACCACAACATATATATATATATATATATATATATATACACAAACAACACATGTA